AGGAATAAAATAAGCAAGTATATATGTTGGGAGGACAGAGATAAATTTAGGTATATAATGATACTGTTGATTAGTTTAACTATTTTAAAAAGTTGGAAAATAAGTACAATCAGATGGAATAAGCTTGGATGTTGGTAATTTTTCAGCACACCAACCAAGAATCTTGATCCATGTTCCTAGTTCTACAATGAGAAGAATATGTATATTTATTGAGTCTGTACTGTGTTTTAGGACTTTGAATATATTCTTTCTAAATTCTGCAACAAACCTGCCATGTAGATGGTCAGATGAAGAAAAAGGCTCTGACAGGTTCCAAGAAACGCTCAAGGTTACACAGCCAAGAGATGGCAGTTAGAATTTGAACCCACGTCTCAACTTCTTCAACTATGCTATTGCTGCTTTATATCTGCCAGATATTTTTGTAGTTGATTGGTGGATCTGATTTATTTTCAAATGAAACAGTTGAATGTATAAATAATACTGTTAGATTAATCAGAAAAGTGCCAAGGATACATTGAGCAGAGTTAAGGATGAGATTTAATTGAGCGTTGTTGTTAGGTGCCCTGAAGTTGGTTCTGACTCAGAACAACCCTTTGTACAACAGAACGAAACACTGCCAGGTCCTGCACCATCCTCACAATTGTTGTTATGCTTGAGCCCATTATTGCAGCCACTGTGTCAGTCCATCTCGTTGAGGGTCTTCCTCTTTTTCACTGTCCCTCTATTTTACCAAGTGTGATGTCCTTCTCCAGGGACTGGTTCCTCCTGATAACAAGTCCAAAGTATGTGAGACGAAGTCTTGCCATCCTTGCTTCTAAGAAGCATGCTGGCTGTACTTCTTCCAAGACAGATTTGTTCATTCTTCTGACAGTCCATAGTATATTCAGTATTCTTCGCTAACACCATAATACCGTCCTATAAGGTTGCTATGAGTTGGAATCAACTCGATGACACACAGCAACAGCAGGGGATATATCAAATGAAAATTTCAGACCTCCTAGAACCTCTGTTTTACTGGAGACATAAGCTTTAAATAAGATAAATAAGTAAACTATATAGAATGTTGGAATCTTGGTGGTGCTGTGGTTAAGAGCTACAGTTGCTAATGAAAAGGTCACCAGTTTGAATCCACCAGCTGCTCCTTGGATATCCTATAGGGCAGTTCTACTCTGTCCTGTTGGGTTGCTATGAGTCGGAATCAGCTCGACGGCAACGAGTTTGATTTTGGTTATACACAATATTAGCTGGTTCTAATGTCACACACAAGTAAAATTTTGCTGAAGATCATTCAAAAGCAGTTGCAGCAGTACATCAACAGGGAACTGTCAGAAATTTCAAGTGGGCTTCAGAAGAGAATGTGGAACAAGGGATATCATTGCTGATGTCAGATGGATCTTGGCTGAAAGCAGAGAATACCAGAAAGATGTTTACCTGTGTTTTATTGACTGTGCAAAGGCATCTGACTGTGTGGATCATAACAAATTGTGGATAACATTGTGAAGATTGGAAATTCCAGGACACTTAATTGTGCTCATGAGGAACTTGTACATAGACCAAGAGGCAGTTGTTCTAACATAACAAGGGGATCCGGCGTAGTTTAACGTCAGGAAAGGTGTGTGTCACGGTTGTATTCTTTCACCATACTTATTCAATCTGTATGCTGAGCAGATAATCCAAGAAGCTGGCTTGTATGAAGAATAAGCATCAAGAATTGGAGGAAGACTTATTAACAACCTGCAGTATGCAGATGACATAACCTTGCTTGCCTAAAATGAAGAGGACTTAAAGCACTTACTGATGAATATCAAAGACCACGGCCTTCAGTATGGATTACACCTCAACATAAAGAAAATAAAAATCCTCACAACTGGACCAATAAGCAACATCACGATAAACAGAGAAAAGGTTGAAGTTGTCAATAATTTCATTTTACTTGGATCAACAGTCAACGCCCATCGAAGCAGTAGTCAAGAAATAAAATGACACATTGCATTGGGCAAATCTGCTGCAAAAGATCTCTTTAAAGTGTTACAGAGGAAAGATGTCACTTTAGGAATTAAGGTGCTCCTGACCCAAGCCATGGTATTTTCAGTTCCTCATATGCATGAGAAAGCTGGACAATGAAAAAGGAATACCGGAAAAGAATTGATGCCTTTGAGTTATGGTGTTGGTGAGGAATATTGAATATACCATGGATAGCCAGAAGAATGAACAGATCTGTCTTGGAAGAAGGACAGCCAGAATGCGCATTAGAAGGGAGGATGGCGAGACTTTGTCTCACATACTTTGGGCATGTTAACAGAAGGGACCAGTCCCTGGAGAAGGACATCATGTTTGGTAAAGTAGAGGGTCAGTGGAAAAGAGGAAGACATTCAACAAGATGGACTGACTTAGTGGCTGCAACAAAGGGCTCAAGCATAGCAACATTGTAAAGATGGCGCTGGATCGTGCAGTGTTTTGTTGTAAGTAGGGTCACTATGAGTTGGAACAAACTCAATGACACCTAACAACAACAAGCAGAAAAAGCAGGGAAGAGGAATGTGAAGTGTTGGGGGGGAAATGATGACATTTTAGGTAAGATGGTTAGGAAAGGCCTCGCTGAGAAAGTTACTTTTGAGAAAACAGCTGAACAAAATGACGGAACCAGCCTTCTGAGGGAAGAGCACACACAGCAGAGGGAACTGCAAAGACCTTCAGGTAGAAGCATGCCTGGATTTTTGAGGGACCTTTGTGGCTGAAGCAAGGAGGAAGAGTAGTAGGAGATTAGGTCAGAGAGTTGTTGAGGTGGGTGTGAAGGGCTGTAGTATAGGAATTTACAAGTCATAGTAAGGATTTCAGCTTTTAATTGAGATGACGAGTAACCTGAAATGGCCTGCATTTTAATAAAATCTTGCTGGCTGCTGTGCTGAAGTAGGGCAAAGTCAGTAGCAGGGAGCTGCCTATTAGGTATCCAAGTCAAGTAGTTTGTTAAGTATTCTTGGGCCTGGAGTTAAGAGAGAGGTCTAGCCATAGATATAAATTTGGGAGTACTAACATATAGGTATTTAAAGCCATGAGACTGGATAAAATCACCTTGGAAGTGGGTATAGAAGGAAAAGAGAAGAGTTTGGAGCACTCCAACATATAGAGATTGGAATCTGTAAAAGAGACAGAATGAACAGTCTAAAAAGTAGTGGAGAAACCAGTGTTTCTGTAGTATCTGTAAACCAAGTGAGGTTGTGTTTCTAGGAGTGTGTGATAACTGTGCCAAATAATGCTGATAGGTAATGGTAGATGAGACTGAAAAAATGATCCTTAGATTTAGTGATGTGGAGGTCACTATGCCCTTGATCAGAACAGTTTGGTGAGGTGTGATGGGAGTAGAACTTGCTTTCAAGAGAGAATGGCAGGAAATAAATTGAGAACAACAAATGTAAACAACTTTTTCAAGTTTTGTTGTAAAGAGGAAGAAAGAAATGAGAAGGAAGTTGGAGTGAGAAATTGGGTCAAGGGGATTTTTTTAAGATGGGAGGAAGAATTTATTTTCTGCTTATGGGAATAATCTAGTAGAATGAGAAAGATCAGGAGACTCAGGAAAGAGGCAAGAATTACTGGATCAATGTCCTTGTGCCGGTGGGAGTGGGAAGGAGATTATTAACATTTTACTGCTTGTTTTGTTATAAAAATCAAACATTTTGTAACTTAAAAAAAATCTAAAATGGTAGGAGGAAATGAGAAAAAAAGTAATAGTCTCTATAATTTCCATATTTATTTGTGATGTGGTTTAGTGAAGTTGTTCAGAAATACTTCGGCTTGTGAGTAGGAAACTCAGTTATCCTCGGATGTGAATATCTGTATCCTAGCAAGTAAGGTCCCCAGGAGAGGACAGAAAAGCAGATTTAGAAGTAAATATAAAAACCTGGATGGAAGGAGTACAGATGCTTGCCTGCTTTAATCCTTATTAGATACAAGACTCAGCGATCCTTGTAACCTATTAAAGAGACAATGTTGAATCCATATTAATTTAATACACTCTTTCAATTAAAATTTGCTGTCTAAAAGTCTCTCGGCTTCCTACCTTAAAAAATAAAATTTTAGATACCCTAGCACTAACTTTCAGAACTCAACTTTCACTATTATTCTACTAGTATTTCCTCAGTTCGTGTGACATTCTAAAGCAAACTTGTCCCAAGTCTAACATCACTTGCTGTTATTAGTGATAATAAAAACATCTTGCATTTATATAGAAAGTATTTTAATATGCATTATATCACTTAGTCATCATATCAAGTATGTAAGATAGACAGAGGGTATTTTATGATTCTTTGCGTTTTCATTTTTTTAAGCCCCTAATAATAAGGAACTCAGTGGATGAAAGGAAGCATCTCCTCGAGTTTCTTAATCATTTGTAACAGAGTCAGTAGGGATCATTTTAAATTTTTGATTGAACTTTTAAATTTTGATAGATAAAATTAACACACTAGCTTACTTCCAAAATAATTTTTTTCATGGATCATTTTTTAAATGTTTAGAGTGTTTATTTAAAAAATTTATGAGTATGATTTCTGCTTACTTTACTAGCTTATTTAAACATTGCTATAGTCACAAAATTGTATTGGATTGATAAAATATCTTAATTGACAAGACTAAGACTTCTACTATAACTTGACCAAATCTTTCAAAGTAAATTCGCCTACTTTTTTTTTCTCAGAAAAATCTACCTTGTAAATGCTTGCCAAGTAAAATTAGTTGATAATTAGATTAAAGAAAATAGAATTTTAAATGACCACTATCACCTTTATCCTTACCTAAGAGCTATAACAGAAAATTAGAACTTTTAAAATAATTCTGCCCGTGATTTCCTTCTTCTTTTTTTAAACGGCTTTGTTGTTATTTGTCGTTGAGTTGATTCCAACTCATGGCGACCCCATGTGTGCAGAGTAGAACTGCTCTATAGGGTTTTCAAAGCTGTGACCTTTCAGAAGCAGATTGCCAGGCCTGTCCTCCAAGTTGCCTCTGGGTGAGTTTGAACCACCGACCTTTTGGCTAGTAATTGAGTGCTTAACCATTTGCCCATTTTTGTTTTAGAGTGTTTGTATTTTCTTTTTGATTTATAGGAAATCTTGATGTTTTAGGAAATAAGCACTTCATGAATGAGTGAGTTGCAAATATTTTTTCCCAGTTTGCCATTTCTCTTTTGTAATCTAATCTCAGAATCTTTTCATAAAGTTTGTTAATTTAATTTATATAATCTAATTTATGAATTTTTAATGACATCTGAATGTTTATTCCATGCATAGAAACCAAGGTACCCATTTCCATGTTTTCTTCTAGTATTTTCATGGTTCCATTTTTGTTATTAACGTCTTTGATCCATTTGAAATTTATCTTGGTTTAAGAAACTAGTTATGGGTCTATTTTTTTCCAGATAATCAGTTTATTTATTTTATAGTCCATCTTTTCACCGTTTTGAAATACTGAATTCCTACATATGTTTAGATCTATTGTTAGACTTTGTGCTTTGTACTATTTGTCTGGTTTCTCATGTCCCACTATGACAGTGTTTTGACACATGAAATTTTATAATGCTTCAATATTTGGTAGTGTTAGTCTTTCCCTGTTTTTCTTCTCTTTCAGATCTTTTCTGTCTTTGCTTTTTGTTTATTTTTTTCTGTATTAACTGTAGAACCACCTTGTCTAACTCTAAAATGTTGGAATTTTTATTGAGACCACATTAATTTCATAAATTAATATAAGGAGAGTTCACATATTTGTAATATTGAGTTTTCTTTTCAAGAACATGGCATATAATGAATTTGAATTAGTTGCCAACATTTAAAAATCAGGAAAATTCTCATAAAAATTTGGATTTCCAGCTCCTCTTTGAAAATTAGAACCAACAATCCACTGAAGGTGACTATTGGCTGCCCCCTTTAGGTGAGCCTTGTATTTTCTAGCTAGCCACAGTTCTCTCTTGGTCACTTCCCTCATGTATGTTACCTGCCTGGTCTCTGTAGAATTTGCAACCCAGATGTACTTGAGAGAGTTGGTTATCTGTGCTAAAAACAGGACTTCATAGTTAGAACTAATCAGATCTGATCCATTGTATCATCCTCTTCTGATTGTTTTGTATCTTGGTTCTGTTAATTATTCTTTTGTCTTTCCAATTTAAAATCACCTGTTAAGCAAACTTTCTATACCTTCATTTAAGTCTGATATTGAACAGGACAGGCTGAGGACAGAAATTCTGCATTACACCACTAGAGAGTTAATTACAGTGAAACCTGTGAGAGCAGAAGTCAATGGGACTGCCACGTCTTTCTGGGTCTTTCAGGTTTTCAGCCCTTGATAGGGTATAGTCTAACCAGTTTTCTATCACTCATTTTAGTGGAAAATATTTGAGTTTTCCTTCTCTGACAGGTTTCCACCTTACCCAGGTTCTGGCTTTTGCAGGTTTTACTGTAGTGCTACTTGGATATGGCAATTCAACTAGTTACTAGTATATTGTCACATAACTTTATTAGCATTAAGCTAGTAAACCTTGTCAAATACTGAACTATCTACTAGTCGTATACTTAGAAACCTTGTAGGAACCCTCAGGAGATGAGTAATTTTGGGCCAATAGCTGAGACTTTAAACATTTAACCTTTTATTTTGGCCACTTTGAGTATAATTTTTCACATTTGAATAAACTGGCAATATTTAGCCTGTAGCGTGGTATAAAGAAGCTTTAGGGGAAACATAAGTCTTCAAGAATTTAAATGTTTGTGTAAAAAAGAGGAATGTATTTTTTTTTTAAGAAACGATCTCAAAGGGGACACTTACAAAGCCAGGGGGGAAATTAACTTGATGTAAAGAAGAACTTTCTAACAGGTATTCAAGTATAGTTTGAATGTATTTATAGGAGCTATTTCTAGAATTTTGGAAACCCCGGTGGCGTAGTGGTTAAGCGCTATGGCTGCTAACCAAAAAGTCAGTGGTTCGAATCCACCAGGCGCTCCTTGGAAACCATATGGCACAATTCTGCTCTGTCCTGTAGGGTTGCTATGAGTTGGAATCGACTCAATGGCACTGGGTTATTTCTAGAATTTAACGGACCAATCTTTAAAAAAAACAAAGAAATGGTGAGCTGACTTAAGTTTTCCAGCTTTTTATTTTGCTTTGTATATAGAGATATTATTTAAAATGACTAATACCCCTATCATTATCATTTTATTAAAAAAATGTTTCTGGGGTACAATTTTAGTATTGTTCACTGTCATTGGAAGTGTTGCTATTGGCTACCTAAAAAATATTTTAAATGTTAATAGCCACCAGTGAGAATAATTTCACCATAGTAAATAATGTTAGTCAACTGTTAAGCCAGAAAGGAAATTTGAATCAGTGAAATAGCTCCTCATTGTCTCTAGGATAAAGTCTGGATTTCTTAACATGACTGGTAGACACCCTGAGATCTGGCCCTGCTTACACCTCTAGACTTCTCTCTCTAGTCTCTCTGGCTACTTGGCAATACTACACTATTGAGTAGTTTCTGAAATGCCATGTCCCGCTTTATCTCTGGGCATTTCTACACTGTTCCCACTGTACTCTTGCCAGTTTTAGGTACAATGGAAGGCAGTAAGCAATTGTAAAAGCACCATTTAGTACTCTAACAGGTGTTACAGCTTACTGGTGGAGACAGTATTTTGCTTTTATTTAGCACTTTATAATTCACCTTTGAAGTAGACAGTACTGTAGTGAGTAGATCAGGTTTTTGTTGTTATTTTCTTTAATGTACTAAAACAAAAGTTATATGATGATCTCAAGGTCACACAGTTAGAAGGTGGTCGAGCCAAGGCTCAGGTCTAGTTTTTTGTTTGTTTGTTTGTTTTATTTAAATTTAATGTAGTCTTTCATTCATTTAACAAAATTTATTGTGCCTATTACTTTCCATTGCTTTATTTTCCCCTTTTCTGCTTTTGTATGTCCTCAATGGCCATACTGTTCCTTAAACACATACTTCCTTGCTTCCATTCCTTTACTTCTTCTGAATCTTTTTCCTGGACTTCCCTTTCCAGCCCCTTTATGAGGACCACCTGAAGTACTGCTGTTGGAATACTTTTCTGAATAACTTGCTGAGGATGCACTCTTCCCTTTGTAAATCACCTTATAGATGAACTTGTGTCTCTCTTGGACCACATTTACTATACTTTGTTCTGTATAATGTGATTTTCTTATGCCTCTCTTCCCTTTAGATTCCTCATCATCTTGCAGGCAGGGACTTTTGTAGTCCCTGCACACGTGCTTTGGATGTAATGGACTGTCCATAAATATTTGCTCAATTAAGTAGTAAGTTAAAATTAGACTGAGATGTGATTTTTATTTATTTACTTTTTTTTATTAACTGGGAAAATGGTATAGATGTTTGCTAGAATAAAGACAGTAAATCTTAAAGAAAAATTGTGTTTATTGTAGAATAAACTGTTTCATTCAGAAAACATGTTTTATTGTTGTTTTCTGGGCATTTTTAGATTTTCTGCGCATTTTTTCATAGTTCACCTTTAGTCCCTATTTTCATAATTAAGGTTGACTACTGTCTTGGAGCCCTGGTGATGCAGTGGTTAAGAGCTTGGCTGCTAACCAAAAGGTCGGCAGTTTGAATCCACCAGCTGCTCCTTGGAAACCCTATGGGGCATTTCTACACCATCCTACAGCGTCTGAGTCGGAATCGACTTGACGGCAACGGGTTTGGTTTTTGGTTTACCTACATATGAAATATGTATCTTCTTAATACTAGTATTGGTATCTATATTTATTTTCTTCACCATTAGGTGTTCCTTTATGCTTACCTTTATCGAACCACAAATAACATGTATTGGTAATGCTCCATTTACTTGTCTGTAACCCTCTTCAGAGGTCAGTTGTTATTCATCATTGTAGTGCTTAGAAGTTGCCTATCAATAAATGTTTATTGGATGAATGAATGAATAGCAAAATTGTTTTCTTGATCAAAATTTCTACGTTTCCTAGGGTTATATAAATGTAGAAAACACTCTCCTTTAACATAATCCACCAAAATGTGTAAAAATTTAAAGAGTATATCAGTTCTTCTCTATATGAGATATTCTTACTTATGGAATATAAGAAACTTGTTTCCAGGGTAGTCTTCTAAAAATTCTGTAGCTACTTTTTAAGGGTAAAACAAGTAAACAAGCCTATAATAAAATCCGTATAAATTTAGAAAAGTTTTATATTTATATTTTAAGTTCACTACTATCACAATAAATAGGAATGTGTGAACTAATGTCATATCATTCAGATTATCTGCTTTCAACATTCACTTGAGCAGTGATTTCTATAGTTCAGGGTTAAGAACTGTTAACCTGATACATTCGAAATACTCAAGAAATTAATTAGTTCTAAGATGCATATTTTTTCACTTTTAGTTTCTCTGAAATTGGGATGGGTCTCAGTCAGTGTCTACCAGGTGGCTGTTACGGAGTAGTTGTCATTGCCTGTGTGTACACAAACTTTGTCATAGCGATTTATATTGCTGTCACCTTGGTTGGGCAATGTACATTGTTGGTACTACACATGTTTAATTGCCATTTAAAATGTCTTTGAAAAGATTACACTGTTATTCAGAATTTAACTGAAAAGTTACTGAGTATGCAGAAAGGCAAAGAAACAAAGCAGCAGAACATAAATTTGATATTAGTGAAACAAATATATGTTGCTGAAGAAATGACAGCAATTCCACATTTTCTTCCAAAGCAACAATCAGGTGTTTTATGGACCAATCAAAATATCTCAAGGTAGAAGAAATTTTTAAATCCTTTGGGGTAATTCTGAGTCTGAATACATTTTTTTTTTTTTTATAATCACATTTTTTTTTTTTTTTTTTAATATTTTATTGTACTTCAGGTGAAGGCTTACAGAACAAATAGTTTCTCATGAAACAGTAGTACACATGTTGTTTTATGACATTGGTTAACAACCCCACAACATATTAACCCTCTAAATTCTCAACCTTTTTTTTTTTTTTTTTGGTGAAAATACGCATAGCCAAAGATATACCATTTCAAAAATTTCTACATACACAGTTCAGTGACATTGACTACGCTCTTCCAATTGTGCTGTTATTCTCACTTAAGATGAAGGCTTACAGAACAAAATAGTTTCTCATTTAACAGTTACTACAAATGTTGCCCTATGACAATGGTTAACAATCTCACAACACATCAGCAGTACCCTTACTCAATCTTGTGTTCCCTATCACCAGCTTCCTTGTCCCCTTCTGCCTTCTGGCCCTTGTCACTGGACTCCTGTACCTCGTTACTCTCATTTGGTTTTACGGGGCTGTCCACTCCCAGGCTGAACAGTGAACCTCGGAGGTAACTTCACCACTGAGCTAAAAGGGTGTCTGGGGGCCATACTCGAGGTTTCTCCAGTCTCCTTTAGGCCAGTAAATCTGGTCTTTTTTTTTTTTGTGAGTTAGAATTATGCTCTACATCCTTCTCCAGCTCTGTCCAGAACCCTCCGTTGTGATCCTGGTCAGAGCAGTCGGTGGTGGTAGCCGGGCACCATCTAGCTGTACTGGACTCAGTCCGGTGGAGGCCTTGGTAGTTGTGGACAGTTAGTCCTTCGGACTAATCTTTTCCTTGTATCCTGTTCTCTTCATTCTCCCTTGCTCCCGAAGGGATGAGACCAGTGGAGTATCTTAGATGGCTGCTCACAGGCTTAAGTCTAAATACATTTTAAAGTTGTTTTGTTAATTATAAAATAAAAATTCTAAGTGATATAGTTTCATAGTTTAATGTGCAAAATTTTTTTTCTTCATATTATGTCAACTATGGTATACCTTCTAATTGATGACATATTGGATTTGGTAACTTCTGTTGTATTTTTTTTTTATGTTCCACTTGATAATGATACAGCCATATAAAAACATAAGACATTGCTTTCTTGATTAATGGCTTAGGTATACCTAGATGTTCCCTAGTCTGAAGCTGAATGTAAGGTATGTTCCAGAGAAGTTACTTAACCTACCTTATTTGTTGGCCAATTCTTTGTTCAATACAGACTGTATAGCTCTGTATATGCTTGGACTCACAATTGTAAAGTAATTCTGGAAAAATAATTTCTTGTTTTTTATTTTACTAATACTAAAATCTCATATATTTATTAAAGCACTTAGGTGCCATTATGATTGATAGTAAGTCAGTCTCTAGGTAAAATTAATACAGATTTTGGTAGTTTTTATTTTGCAGAATTAAAAAAAAGTATTTCTGTATTTAAATTGGGAACAGACATTTTGTTTATGAAATTTATATTTCCTAACATGGACCTCCCAAAGTAGAAGCTTTGTGAAAGTTTTGAAGGCCTTTGCTAATCTTCAGCTAAACTAATATGTAGAGAGGCAAGAACCTCCATTTGTGGTTCTCTATGCAATGCATTGGGGACAGAACCACAAATGACCTTTGTTAAAAATATTTGGAATGATACAAGCCTGTAATAATAATGGTCACCTATTTCATATTAGCAAGTAACCTATTAGATCCTTTACACACACACACACACACACACACATATACACACACATAAATATATTATTTTTTCCTCTGGAAACTGTTAAAAGACCAGTGTTTTGCTTAGCTCATGGTAGTGTTTGTTTTTGCCTGAGTATTATTCTCAGGACACATTTATTTTGCACAGTATAAAAATATAATAGGCAACATTGTATATTCCAAATCATTTAGTAGAGGGGACTCAAGGATAGAGAAATGAATACAGATGTTCACAGGAATGTGCTTGCTTTTGCTTCATGGATATCCAAATCAGTTGACGATCAGGAAGAATATCTTCCATGAACAAGAGGACCATGGAAGAACTATACAGAGAAATCCCCAACATACTACATGTCTGTGATGTTAGCTGACTATGCACCAGATGACTAACTTTTATCTCATTCTGGGTTAGCTTATCATGACCTCATGCATTTGCTCCTCTTGAGGGATTTCCCTGTATACCCTATGAACTACTAGATTTATTTGCTGAAGAGGTCTTGAGCTAATGATCCCAGTGAATTTACTAAGCTGAGAGGATCTGATGTCAGCTATCTTAACAAGACATAACTTAGAAGTATAGTACATGTCTTAGTCATTTAGTGCTGCTACAACAGAAATACCACAAGTGGTTGGTTTTACTGAAGAGAAGTTTATTTCCTCATAGTCAAAGTAGGCTAAAAGTCCAAATTGAGGGTGTCAGCTCCAGGGGAAGGCTTTCTCTCTCTCAGCCTTCTCATCAGTGTTCCTCCAGACTAGGAGCTTCTCAGCGCAGGTACCTCTGTCCAAAGGACGTGCTCTGCTCCCGGCACTGCTTTCTTGATGGTATGAGGTCCTCCTGTCTCACTGCTCACTCCTGTCTTTTATATCTCGAGAGATTGCCTCAGGACACAATCCAGTCTTGTAGATCCAGTCCTGCCTTACTAACACAACTGCCACCCATCCTCCCTCATTAACATCATAGAGGCAGGTTTACAACATACAGGAAAATCAACAGTACCAGGAATCATGGCCTAGCCAAATTGATACACACATTTTTGGGGAGACATAATTCAAACCATGACAGTATGTATATATTTAATACATTGACTAGAGCTGCTGGGGAGTGATGGTCATTTAATGGTAAGGTTTAGTCTGACATACTAGTCTCAGGTCTACTCTACATTCTTTTATTATAATATACAGACTTCAGAATGAAGTAATGTGCATTATTATTTCTAAATGCATAGTTACGTCCTGCACGATCCTTTTTTTTTTTTTTCCTTTGTAAGGAACATTAATGAACTGTTTGCAATGAATTATTCTACAACATAAAATACTATACGCTGAGATTTATGTTTTTTAAGCCATAAACCATATATAAATGTTGGATATAGAATTTTAAGGAGTACTCATTATTAAATTTAAATTGCTTTTTTTCCCCTTATTTTTTCTAGAATTTTGACACTTCATGACATGTCATTATCTAGAGCAATAATGAACATTGGCCTGTTTTGGATTAGTTGATGACCTTCGGAAATGATCCAGTATCTGCTGCAGAGAAGCTGAATATACTCCATTTGGAGTGAACAGCCCAGATTGTTAACTGAAGTTTCAAGATGACAGATCCAATGATGGACTTTTTTGATGACGCCAATCTTTTTGGTGAGACCTTAGAAGGTTTGTCAGATGATGCATTTGTACAACCAGGACCTGTTTCACTAGTTGATGAATTGAACTTGGGTGCAGAATTTGAACCTTTGCACATAGACTCACTGAACCATGTTCAGGGTACTCCAACACATCAGAAGATGACTGATTTTGAACAGTTAAATCAGTTTGATTCACTGAAATTTCATCAGGTTAATCAGTCTTTCGGTAGCCCAGCTGAACACGTGTTATCTCCACACTCTCAGTTTAATTGCTCTCCGATCCACCCCCAAAACCAATCCAATGGTTTGTTTCCGGATGTAGCAGATGGCAGTCCAATGTGGGGCCATCACACAGCCACTAGCATTTCAAATCTAAATGGGTCACCGTTTCACCAACAAGGACATTCACACTCTATGCATCAAAATAAAAGCTTTGTGGCACACCATGACTTTGCCTTATTTCAGGCCAATGAACAACAAACACAGTGTACGTCACTACGCTTACAACAAAACAGAAATAATCTTAACCCAGGGCAAAATTCTCTTAGCCAGTCTAAAAATTTTATGGATGTTAGTGTTTCTGGTCCACATAGAGTCAGTGTTAACCACCCACCACAAATTACTAATGCATCTACTTCACAACAGTCTCTTTCGATGCAGCAATTTTCTCAAACGTCAAATCCTTCAATCCACTTCCTCAAGTGTAGCAATCATCAAGAAGGAAATTTTAATGGACCTTCTCCAAATATGACTTCTTGTTCTGTTAGTAATTCACAGCAGTTTTCTTCACATTATTCCTTTTCCAGTAATCATTTATCATCAAACAGTCTTCTTCAGTCCTCTGCAGTTCTTGCTTCTAATCATACAAATCAGACTTTATCTGATTTTACTGGAAATAATTCTTTTTCACCTCAAAGGGGAATCAAGCAAGAATCCACTCAGCATATCCTAAACCCCAATACATCGTTGAATTCTAATAATTTCCAAATGTTACATTCGTCACATCCTCAGGGTAATTATAGCAGTTCAAAGTTATCTCCTGTGCACATGAACTTCCCAGATCCTGTTGACTCAGGAACTCAAATGGGCCATTTCAATGATCGTGTAGAAACTAATGGCTTTTCATCTTTAGAAGAGAATTTACTTCATCAAGTGGAGTCTCAAACCGAGCCGTTCACAGGACTTGACCCAGAGGACCTTCTTCAGGAGGGTCTGCTTCCCCAATATGATGAGTCAACATTTGGGCAAGATAGTTCAAGTCATGTCTTAGATCATCACCTTGATCAGCAGTTTACTTCACATCTTGTAACACGGCCTTCGGATATGGCTCAAGCTCAGTTGCAAAGTCATGCTCAGAGCTGGCATTCATCACTTTCTAATCATCAGCACTTACATGACAGAAATCACCTGTGTTTACAGCGACAGGTATGTAGCTCTTTGCTTTTATTTTGGTCATTTGGGGTAGGGTGGGCCTTAGTTACTGAGTTAATTGTATATGAGAAATAGTCAAGATTTCTAAAACTCAGCAATTTATTAAGTGAATATGCATATTTTGACAGATTTACATTGCTTTAACAGTCTTACATTTGAAAGTGATTCATTGATGTGCTCAAAGCAGTAGACTAATTTTTATGTTTAGAAAATCATAAGGTTTTAAGACCTCTTGTAACTTTTAATTGTAAGTGCCGTTATTAGAAAGATATTTTATCAAAAACGAACAAAACTTAAACAATCATCATAATTAAAAGGCAGACAACAGGTTAGGAAATTTTTATTGCAAATATGATGGACACAGTTAATATTCTTATGAAAAGCTCATATAAATTGATAAGCAAAAATTTAAGACCTCAACTGATAATGAACATAAGCTGAAAATTCATAAAAGAGGAAATACAACTAGTAAAAGAGAATAATGTGCAACCTTAGTGATACAAATGCAATTTGAAACATTTCACTTTTACCTACTTTTTTTTTTTTAAATGTTAATGCTTAATGCTGACAACCGTACAGTGAAATTGGTTATTTCCATGACTTTGTTAATTGACACAAATATTTTGGAAAGCAATTCGGTGGTATATTTAGGAGTATAAAAATACTTCATTACAATAATCTCAACATCACAAAAGTAATATGCTCAAAGACGTTTATCTTACTATATTTATGAGGGGCAACTGGAATCAACATAGCTTATTATCATATACATATTATATATCCATAATGCCTATTATAGGCATTGAAAAGACTTTGAAGACTAACACTGAGAAAATGTTAATGATGGGGGAAAAGCATAATTCAAAATTAAGATCATAGTAAAGTAAAATTATTAAGAATACAGAGTCTGAAACCAGACTAATTGGACTAGAATCTTAACTCCTGTCACTTATCAGCTGTGAGACTTTGGGCTAGTTACATAACTTCTCTTTGCTGCATTTTCCTCTTCTTTAAAATGGGGAATAATAATAGGATCTATGTAATAGGGTTTTGGAGTCCCTGGGTGATGTAAACAGTTAATGCATAGGCTGCTAACTAAAAGGTTGGAGGTTCGAGTCCAGCCAGAGATGTCTCAGGAGAAAGGTCTGGCAGTCTACTTCCAAAAAAATCTTCCATTGGAAACCCTATGGATCGCAGTTCTATTCTGACATGCACGGGGTTGCCGTGAGTTGGAGTTGACTCGATGGCAGGTGGTTACTGGTTAATAGGGCTTTGGTAAAGATTAAATGAGTTATAACATGAAAAAGTGCTTAGAACTATGCCTAGTATACAAACCAAAAAACCAAACTCATTGCCATCAAGTCGATTGCAACTCATAGTAACCCTACAAGACAGAGTAGAACTGCCCCGTAGGGTTTCCAAGGAGTGGCTGGTGGATTTGAACTGCCGACCTTTTGGTTAGCAGCTGTAGCTCTTAATCACTGCACCACCAGGGCTCCTGCCTAGTGTATAGTAAGTACTTAATAAATGTTTTTATAATTATACTTTTTTCTGTAGCAGTATGAAAAAGCACTGGAAGGAAATAGGTCATTTTAGTGCAGTGCAATTACACTTTACTTTCTACAGTTTTTTGTCTTGTGAGTATATTATTTTTATAAGGAAAAATGTACTTAATGTAATATGACATTTTTCTGAAATCCTGTTGTTAAATTAAAGATTCAGGAAGTTGCTTCAATACCCTGGTTACCTGTGAGATATGGTAGACAGTGAAATATACCACAGTTCTTGAAATTAAGTATTTGGGGACCAGTTTTCATTTCAGAGTCTTGAAGTATTTGACAAAGATTAAAGTTCTATCTTTTCCATTGGGTTGATTTTAGTATTGTTTAAAATGATATTCTTAGTACATTTTTGAACTCGCTAGACAGACGTAGAGATATTTAAAAGGCACTTGTAAACTCTCCCCCTTGCTTTTCTATGTGGCATGAGTTGAGTATCATGATTCTGCTCCCTCTGCTGGAGGAGGGGCAAGCATCTTAGTCAGAATGACTCCGGGGAAAACATCCACTGATTGAATCTAAGTTATCTATCCACGTTGTATGTCGTTTGACTAACTACTTTGTATGAAGTATAATTGAAGTAATGGAGCCTGTGGCTTATTAACTTCTTAATTTAATTTTTCTAAGGTTTTGCCATCATTTTAATTTTTTTTTTTTTTTAATTCATGTTTTTCTAAACATATTTCCCTAGCTTTATAGATTTGGAATAAATGGAGGGAAATTATTAAGTACTAAAGTAGTCCCTAGGAGCACTGGTGATGCAGTGGTTAAGTACTTGGCTGCTAACTGAAAGGTCAGTGGTTCAGCCTTTTCTCAGCGGGAGAAAAGACCTGGGGATCTGCTCCCGTAAGGATTACAGCTTGGGGAACCCTGTGGGGCAGTTCTGTGGCACATTGGGTCACTAGGAGATGGAACACCATACAGATAGCATTCCGTCTGAGAGGAATTTGTTTCAGTACCAGCATGAGCAACCTTTCATAAGTTATCTTATTCTACACTGATAAATTAATAAGTTTTTAAGTCTACTTACCCTTTTGCTTCAAGGTTTTTAGCTTACTTCTTGCTATTTTTGTTACATGTCCAAAAACTGATCAAAGGCCAGTCAGTTTTGGATACTTTTTGAGTTATTGGAAGTCTTTCCTCAAGTTTACTATTATTTCTTTTTTATATAGTAAGTCATGTGCTTCTTTATTAATACAATGAATAACAAAATCTAATGACTACCATGATTTAAAAATAATAATGTATGTAAACAATATTTTGTGATATCTACAACAACTGTTATGTGATTTCTTCTATTGGTGGCAAAGTCATGGACTCTGTGAATAGCTGTATATATTATTTTTAATTTTGAAAAATTTCAAACCCACAGGAAAGTTGAAAGAATAATAAAATGAACATCACTGTCACTGTCCCAATCACTAGCTGTTGTTAACCTTTCCACCCTACTCAAATCTTTCATTTCTCTCTCTCTCTGTCTCTCTCTCTCTCTTTCTCTCTCTCACGTGTTTTGCCAAACTATCCAAAAACAGTTTGCAGACATGGTGACATTTTATCCTGAGTACTTTAGCCTGTGTCTTCCCCTGTGTTATTATTATTTTTAATAAATTTTTTTGTTGTTGTTGAGAATATACATAGCAAAACATACACCAGTTTAGCAATTTCTGCATGTACAATTCAGTGACATTGATTTCATATTCTTTGAGTTGTACAACCATTCTTACTCTCCTTTTCTGAGTTTTTCTTCTCCTATTAATATAACCTCACTGCCCCCTAATATTCCTGTTGAGTGGATTCTGACTCATGGTGACCCCATGTGTGTCAGAGTAGAGCTATGCTCCATAGGGTTTTCAATGGCTGATTTTTCGAGCCTTTCTTCAAGGTACTTCTGGGTAGATTCGAACCTCCAACCTTTTGACTATTAGCTGAGCACATTAACTGTTTGTGCCACCCAGGGACCTAGATTAGTGTCTGATTAATTGGGTCACTACGAGTCGGAATCGACTCGATGGCAATGGGTTTGGTTTTGGATGTTTTATTATAGCCTAGTCAAGTAGATACATAAAACTACCCATCACCGAGGTCTTACATGTTCACATTTTTGATAGTGAGTTACTTTCTCCTAAGTAAGAATCTGTTAGAACACATTAGATATTTGAAAATTTTCTTAAGTAGACACATAGCTAATTTTGTATGTACGTTATTATAAAAAAGAGTGGGAAACCTATATAAAACTAGAGCAATGCATTTGCTGCGCTTTGCTCATACCCATTGAGCTGAGAAGATCCCAAGCTCTTTGCTACCCTTTTTATTTTTTTTACAGTGGAAACTTTTCTTGAGTCAAAAAATAACATATACACACAGTAAAAAGAAACTTTTCACACCACTTATGTCCTAGACAAAAAAAAAGAGGAAAAACTACCTAAGTAGTGATTAGATTGTCCAATTGAATAAGTTTTATGAAGTTACCATCTCTGTGTTTATAATGAATCAGAATTTGTTTAAATCATTATGCATTTGGCATGGTATTCCTTATCAGTAGTTTTAAAACTCTTAATTGTCTGACTAAGCCAAAGCACAAAATGGAAATAACTCTCCAGGAATTTCCCTTTTAGTTGCTTTGTTTCAGTTAAAGTGGACTAGTGTTTGGTTTTAACATTTCTGTCAAATCTTTTAGATTAGTATGTTCTATTTTAACTGGAAAATTTGTGGAATGTTGGCTAGTTATGAAATATGATCTTAATTATTAAACTGTGTACTGTATTGTAGAAGTGTTGAGCTCCATACTGCCTGCCAGGAAACTGAGTAACAGAGACTCCAGTTGTTAACTGTAGCTCTAAGACTTGGCCTCCAGCATGCATACTTAAGGGTGAGAGGTGAACAGGAAGTGAATTCTAGGAGTGGGGAAGAAGCAGCAGCTGGTGAGAAATTTGTGGATTAGTGCAGTACATGAAGAGCACGTGAGATTGGAGCCAAACTACAAAGTAGTTTTAACAAAATTCTTTGTTGTTTTTAATTTTATTGGTGAAGTGCATTCCCAAATACCTTTAGTTATCATTATTAATGTCTAAAATTGGAAAATAATGTGAGAGTTAGGAACTACACAGCTACGAAATTTTATTACTATTATTACAACATAGGAAAAAAGCTATTTTGGAATACTTAAATATGGATGACCATTTTCTTTATATGGATAATTGAACTGAAATAATTTCAAATTAAGGAAATATTTTAATACAGTATGTTGTGGGTAATGTATGGAAAGAAGTAGTGAACACATAGGAAGCATGGACTGAAGTTTTCAGTTAAATAAAATCTGGTAATTTCCTATGCTCAACTATGCAAATAATACTTTCCACATTTACTATGCAAGTAATGCCTTATATATTATGAAAGGAGGAAAATCTTTGAGATTTTTTTCCTACATATTTTTAT